TTCAGGCCATGATCATGGAGAATGCCTGGGTTTTCCAAAGATTCCGGGTAGTAGCGCAGGTGGTCTCGCAAGGAATCCACCTTCTTGAGATAATCATCGAGAGTTCCGCAAGTTCTTCTGGGTTTTCTAAGGTTTTGGGTTGAGGACTAGGAGCTTGACTCATGCATGTCACATGGCCTTCAAAGCCTGGCATGCTGTGGAGTGCTTTACGTTAGGGGTTCATAGGTTCGAGCTGTGCCAAGCAGCAACTGCAAGCTGGCACGGCGGATGCGTGCCACCCATAGAGGAGCCGTTGGCAATGCCCTGAAGCCTCGTCTTTTGGAGCTGGTTTGGCGTGGCTGGACCCCAAACCCTGAACCTTAAACCCAAAACCCGAAACCCGAAACCCTATAAACCCCAAACCCTAAACCCTAAACCCTATAAACCCCAAACTTTGGTCCAACCGAGGTCCGGACAGCTACGGAAGAACTGGCTGAGGCCTTCCATCCCAGCGTAGGTGTCCGAGTGCAGTTTGCTGAGTTAGGGTTTAGGGTTTAGGGTTTTGGGTTTAGGGTTTAGGGTTTAGGGTTTAGGGTTTAGGGTTTAGGGTGTAGGGTGTAGGGTTTAGGGTTTAGGGTTTAGGGTTTAGGGTTTAGGGTTTAGGGTTTAGGGTTTAGGGTTTCGAGAGAGCCTACTCCATGACACAGACCTGTCGTTCAGAAGCAGCTATGGACACGAAGGAGCCTGAGTTCAGCTGAGTTCGTGTTTCAGGGTTTAGGGGGCCTCTTCAGGCTTTGGGCTCAGGGATGGCTGGGGTTTAGGGTGTAGGCTATGGGGTTAAACCCTAAACCCTAAACCCTAAACCCTAAACCCTAAACCCTAAACCCAAAGGGTTCCATGTGAGAAGGCCATGAGTCGCAAGATGGAGAACGCCGTCGCGACGCAGGAGGCAAGGGAGACCTCCTCACGGTTTATATTTTTTGTCTCCGGACTGCAGAATTTAGATGTGTGGTTTAGGGTTTAGAGTTTAGAGTCTAGGGTTTAAGGTTTATTAGCGGCGGGGGGAGGGGTTGAGAGGTTCAGGGTTCAGGGGACTTCGGGTTTAGGTTTTTGCGGGTTGGGGGGGTTCTCTGGACTTCAGGGAGTAAAGGAGGGACCCTTTTCAGGGACCTTAGGGGTTATTTGGGGATTATTGAGGGGCTACTTAGGTATATAGAGACTGTATAAGGCATAAAAGAAAATATACGTATATATATATATAGAAGAATATCGGGTTGAAACCCCTCAATGGACAGAGTTGCGGGTTGGACTTGTCGCAGATGTAGACGCAGCAGTCGTTCGAGAAGACGTTCTGCTTACCACGGCAAAGGGAGTCCGGAGGTGTAGGGCCTGTAGGGTTTAGGGTTTGGGGTTTAGGGTTCGGGGTTTAGGGTTTAGGGCTTAGGGTTTGGGGTTTAGGGTTTGGGGTTTGGGGTTTAGGGTTTAGCGTTTAGGGTTTAGGGTTTAGGGTTTAGGGTTTCGGGCTGGGCTTAGGGGCGTTCAGGGATTGAGGGTCAACTTCAGCGGTGGCGGAGAGCAGCAGGGCAATTTTTCCTTAACCGACTCCTGTATCCCGAACCCCTCCCCCCCCAAAGGGTGGCACGGAATTCAGAACACCCGCATCCCCCGCCTGAGCTTCATCGCCAACAAACTCCCCAATATCTCAGAAGGCCCTTGCCAGAGCTGAGCTGGATGGCAGTGAGGGTGCCGCGCTGGCAGGCGAGTCGAAGAGGGTCGGGATTCAACTGGGATGCAGGGCCTTGCTACCTGGCTTCCTGCCGAACCTAGTGAATCCTCCTGAGCGTGTGTTGGACTCTAATGCAGGCACCCCCTTACCCCCGGGACCTCAACCCGAAAACCCTAAACCCTCTGACCCCCTCACCCTAAACCCCTCAACCCCTCACCCCTCAACCTCAAAACCCGTATAGCCCGCAATCCCCTACACCCCCAAAAGATTCTAAATCCAACAATCCTCAAACCCCTATAGCCCTAACCCCAAAACCCCGAAGCAAAAAAACCCTCAACCCCCTAAAAACACCTCAACCCCCTCAACCCCTCAACCCCTCAACCCCTCAACCCTCAACCCTAAACCCTAAACCCTAAACCCTTTTAAGGCCCTTGTCGCAGGAGTCGGGCTTCAGCTGGCCTCTCCCTTCGCGCTCTCCTCGGTCTACGAACCGGCCCCCGAGTTCACGAACTTCGTGGGCCGGCGCCTCAGAGCTTTAGGGTTTAGGGTTTAGAGTTTAGGGTTTAGGGTTTAGGGTTTAGGGTTAGGGGAAGGATAAGGGGGACCCTGAAAAAGGGAACCCTTCTGAACAGGGACCTTATTCAGCGGGCCTCTATCCCCAAGGGTCCGCCAATCCTATCCCCTATCAGAGCATTAGGGTTGCCGGGTGTTAGAAGGGTTTTATAGACATTTAGGGAGTAGAGGGTTTAGGGGTTTTGGGATTGTAGGGTTTAGAGGGCTAGGCGTAGAGGGGTTGGAGGGGTTAGAGGGGTTAGAGGGGTTAGGGCTTTCTGGGTTTAGGGGTTATGAATGGGGTAATGGGGGTTCAGGGTTTGGGGTTTTGCTGCATAGGGTTTGGGTCAAGACATCTGGCGATTTCAGGCGCCTGGCTCTAGAGATTTCGATTACTAATTCGCAATGCCAGGGGCGCGCGACACAAACGGCCACTCGTGGAATATAGTTTCCAAAGTCACGGCTGGGGCTGAAACCTGTTGTAGAACTCCCTAAACCCTCATCTCCCAACCCCGAAATCCTAAACCCCTAATCCTAAACTCTATAGGTAGTATGATTACACACCCCAAGGGCCACCTTGAGTCCCACGGTGCTTCACACCCTGCACCTGAAGCCTGTACACACATCTGCCAGACTTGAACACATTCTGTCATTGGTGAGTGTATTTAAGGTTTCTCATAAGTATTATTGGTGAGTGTATATTATTGGTGTCCTTTTGGGGCTACTAGTAATCAAAAAGCCATACTTCATGACATAATGGTTGATCGTAAAGCTGAATACATGCGAGGATGATATATTCTATCGCCGATGCGTGTAATGCAGTAGTACGTCATGATCACATCACTTCGTATCATCGTCTCACCATCACCACCATCACCATCATCACCGTAACAAAGTTACTAAGAATATAAAGACCCTGGCAAAAATGATGACAATCTGCCGTCCCACCCGGCAGGCAACTATGAGGCTTGCCTGGCACGGGCCTCAGATGCCTCAAGTAGTTGTGCAGTGTGGACGTGGAGGTACCTCAGCGCAAGCAGGTAGGAGTAGGGGCCACGGTGGGGTTGTGTTTTTGGTGGTCTTGGGCTTCAGCGGCTCGTTTCAGAGGAGGTGAGGGCTGATTGATGGTTTCAACAACCAGCGAGGATTTGAGCTTGTGCCCCGTTGCAGCATTGCGACAGACACGTCAATGTAGGGTTTAGGGACAGCCTTTGCAGAGCTAGCTCGCTCGCTCGCGTCCTGACACGGCACACGTGTTGATGCAGCCCTGGCTGCCAAGGATTGGATGTTTTTTGAGGCCGGCTACTTTGACAAGGCTCAGTGTCGGTCGTACTCATTCAGGGTTTAGGGTCAAGACTCTATTGTTCGCGCATGCCCGTTCAGATGGTGTCCGCCGGTCACAGAGACCTCCAAAGTCGTCGCATAGCAAGCAAAACCACGCGATGGAGACTTTCACGCGCAAGAGGGAAGTGACAACACAGATCTTCCTTCTAAAGCTGCAACGTGCATACATGAATGCTGCACGCAAGCAAGCCAGTGCTTGATTCCAAAGATGCTTCAGGCATTCTGAGTGAGCGACGATGGGTTCCGACATGCCTGAACAGTGGCTCAATACTACGTATAACTGCACTTGTACCCCCAGTAAGTCCTCTAACTTGCTAGAAGTACAGGTAGAGTTGGGGCCGCAAGTACCCTTAGAATGCATGGTTGGGTTTTAAACCCTAAACCCTAAACCCTAACGCCTAACGCCTAAAGCCTAAAGCCTAAAGCCTAAAGCCTAAAGCCTAAAGCCTAAACCCTAAACCCTAAACCCTAAACCCTAAACCCTAAACCCTAAACCCTAAACCCTAAACCCTAAACCCTAAACCCTAAACCCTAAACCCTAAACCCTAAACCCTAAACCCTAAACCCTAAACCCTAAACCTAACCTTGACCGAAGCCCAGTGTTGCCGACAGGTCTCTGAGGCTGCAATTCCAGCACGGGAGGACTGACACCGCTCCACAGAGGGGCTGCCACGACACAGAGCCTAGCGGCTTAGCGGCTTAGGGACTTGGAGGGTTTAGGGTTTAGGGTTTAGGGTTTAGGGTTTAGGGTTTAGGGTTTAGGGTTTAGGGTTTAGGGTTTAGGGTTTAGGGTTTAGGGTTTAGGGTTTAGGGTTTAGGGTTTAGGGTTTAGGGTTTAGGCTTCAGTGGGTTTAAGGGTTGGGTGTGAAGGGTTTAGTGTGTTGAGGGTTCACCTGGAACCACCCCCCCCCCCAGTACCACTTGAGCCATGAAGGGGAGTAGTTGGTAGGGTATCTTAAAGTTCGGGCCGAGGATTTAGCAGCTTTGATTCTGAAAGGAGCTGGAAGCCGAAACTGCCCTGCCTTCGAGTGTTTTTCCGAGTGTCGCGCTGCCTCGCTTGGACGGGTTAGCTTCAGCTGTGTCAGCTGTTCTGCTTCGGTTTGACTACAACTCATGCAGCCATGGATGTCATGACAGCTGAATCTCGAGATGGGCAGCCACGAACGTTCCTGCTTATGCAGCTGAGTTAGGCTTTGTTTCAGCCAAGTCTGGAGCCCTGCTCTGCACACAGTTTGTGCCGAAACGCCAAATCATAAACCCTGACTCCCCCCATGATCCGCGCCAGGATCACATCCTGTTGGCCGCAGACCTTGCTTGGCAACCGGCAGAAAAATCTTGACGAAGCCCTGAAATCGCCTTTGCTGATGTATTTGGGACTCATGAGCGCTTATGCCGGCAGGTGGTTGATGCTCCAATTGGGCCCGACCGGCATTCGTGAGGGAACCTGGTTCGGCTGCAAGCTCGTTCATTGAAGCCTTTGAGGGGTCAGGTGGAAAAGTGCCCTTTGATCGCAGTTTCAGTCGCTCCTCAGCAACAAGGATGGAGACTACCCCTGCAACTACCACTACCAGCACTACGACTATCACGTCTACGACTGCAACTCATGACAGCTTCAACTACAGCATTCCATCTATGAACCATACTTGACCATGATTGTAGCATCAGACGACTGCAATCTTCTGAATGGTGATGTTAGAAATGCATCATCAGATCATCCGTGTGCGCGTCCATGATCATCATCGCTGTTGATACACAACATGAACCAGGCTTCCATCAACGTGAATTGCTCGCGGTGGTTTGGGGATGCTGCCGTTTGTGGGCTCTTACCTGACGGGCCCGACGTATTTCGGTCGGTCGAGGTCGAAGTGATTTTTCATGACCACGCTCAAAGGGACCAAGGATGGAACATGTCTCATTGTCAACTGGATTTTGGCAGAGGAGATGCACAAGATACATTGAAACATAATTAGCCTGACCAAACCTAATATGTCACCTCTTAGCCTATGAAAGTCACACATACCACTGCAGATTTAGCTGTTCAGCGCGTACCTGGGTCTACTTACGGTACGAGCTTAGGCAGCGCTCCCCTTTGATGTCTACTGTTGCAGCTGAAGCAGTCGCACTGTTCAAGGCGAAACGCTTTGCTGAATCGCTACCATTGTTCGACAAGCACATCCAGGAGTTCCCAAATGACAAGGTTGGATTCTGCAATCGTGCGCAGGTGCACATTGACATGCACAACTATGAAGCGGCGATCAAGGATGCCGAGCAAAGCCTCACCCTTGATTCTGCCTATACAAAGGCCTACAAACGCAAAGCTGATGCCTTAATTGGCCTCAACAAGAAAAGAGAGGCCATGGAAGTCCTGTTGGACGCAAGTAAGCTCCTGCAGCAGATGGGTGTATCTGGCGATTTACTCACTGAGCCGATGAAAAAGCTAAACCAAGAGCTTGGAGGCTACGTCTCGACCGTGTAAAACGGACGGACCTCTGTGCTTTTTGCAAGGCCTGCTTGAGCAGCAGCAACCTGAAGGGGACCATGTGCCGCAAATGCACAAGAGCATGCTACTGCTCCACGGGCCATCTAGAAGCGCATCGGGAGGAGCACAGCAAGATATGTAAAAAGTTGAAGACCATTGCAGCAAGAGAGGCCGAGAGGAAATCCATGTGCGCAGCAGTCGACTGGTCTCAGTCTCAGGGAGGCCATAACTCTGATCCGGACGCCCCATGTGTGTTGCTTATGAAAATCGGTGACCGAGGGACGCCAAAGGAGGTGTCGCAAAAGTTTTTCGGATGGAAAGAGTTTGCCCTGATGACCCCAGAAGATCGAAAGGGCTTGCTGGGCATGGACGCAGGATGGGAGGCTTTCTTGCGGCTTCCCAGGTGGCAAAAAGACATGTCAACTTTGGTCGCGACGGAAAAACAGCTCATCCAAGCGAACAAGATGTTGCAGACCGGTGCAATACCTGCGGCTCTGTTGGGTGGCATCAAACCGCTTGCGTACAGCAGTCCTGACGCAATGCTTGCAGACATGCAATTCACACTGGCATCTGTTCTCACTGACCCACTGACTTGCTGGTATGCGATGCGAAGAACAGGTTTGTGGAGCGAATCAGATGAGATGTTCAATCAGAAAGCTGACGCTCGGAAACGTCCCATCCTGCGAATCCATGTGGTTGGAGTTGAGTTCGGGCGTGAACTACAGGAGATTGTTGTCCTCCGGAACATGTTGGCTGCCCTCTTTGGCGTGTCAGGCCCGCGATTCCACATCGAGTTCATTGGATGTAGCATCCCAAAAAGCTGGCACGCTCCTGGAGACATTGATGAAGCCAATTTCTGCATCGGAACCACCAACTTCGCTGGGTCATACCAAGAATACATCCAGCACGTACGCTACAGGAAACCTGACGCAGTAGTTGCATACTACCCCGGTTTGTATGATCCCACCTACAACTGGCTCCCTGTGCTGGCATTTGTGGTTGAACAGAGGATTCCCTTTGTGTTCACTTGCGCAAGTGACAAAGATCACACGGAAACCCAAGACCTTTTGCGAGTGAACCCTCTCCGCATGTTGCCGACTGTGCTTCTAGATGAGAGGAACCCCTTCGCTGCGGGATTAGATGAGGACGAGTTTGATCCCAATGTGTTGCACGCCCGAAACATGTACGTGATGGTTGTCCATGGAGGCGACGTTGGAAGCATAGTTCCCGAGATTGCTCAACAGTCTTCAGCCGGTGAGCGCCATTGCACCCTGCTGAAGTCTCTTCCCTCGCAGCGCGACTGGGACGCATTGTTCCGGGATTTGATTGTGCTTTTTGCCAAGTGAAGTGTCACACCTGCCTGGCGTGGTGACACGTTGCTGCTGGAATTTTGGAAGCGCCACATGACTCAAAAATTCGAGCGGGTCCATGGCATGGTCGGGGTTGCAGGGTAGTTTCCATGATATCGACCCCTGGCAGCTAGCTGTATGATGAATAGGCCGAGGCGTTCCCTGCTGCTACCGCTACTGCTACTGCTACTGCTACTGCTACTGCTACTGCTACTGCTACTGCTAAAATTACTTACGACTGCTACTACTGCTACTACTGCTGCTGCTAAAGTTCTGCTTAGACTCGAGCTATCATGCAAGCGGCTTGACGCGTATGGTCATCAAATCTCCCTGAGTCAAGCGGCCTCGCTTCTTGTCCAGCACGTCTACAGGTCTGTTCTCGGCCCATGTTCTGTGAAAACTTGCTCTCAACCCTGCAAAACCTTAATTTGTCAGCTTAAAGCCTTCAAAACCCCATACATAGTATGGGCCCGTAAGCTCTGAACCTATCTTCAGTCTGATCTTGCGGACCAAGGGACGACCCTGTCCGTCGGGCCATCAACATGGATGAGGGCCAGACGGCAGCCACGCGCTACGAGGCCTGAAGAAGGAGGCTACCCAAAATGAGTAGGGGTTCTAACCATGAAAAAACGTTTTTACAATGACAAGGGTTTCTTTAACAATGATAGTGGTTTAGGGTTTGCATGATAGTGGTTAATAATGATACCCAAAATGCAAGGAACCCAGTTTCTCGACTATGAAAGAAGTCTGGTGAAATATTTTCTCTCCCATTACTTAGTACAAGGGTGGCTTCGGGAATGTTCCCTCTGATCCCTAAACCCCCTAAGGCCCGAAAAGCAGTAGTGCGATAGCTTGGTCTAGGGCTCAGGCTCTTTTGCCGTTTTGCTCCCACATTGAATGGACCTGCGGCTCCAAAGCTCAAGAAGCTGACGCGCATGTCTTGTGGTGGTGTGGGATAGTCGGGGTTTGGGGAGGGTTTCGGGTTTGGGTTTGGGGGATAGATGGACAGAGCCCTACTTCCTTGCGTCCTACTCTCAGAAGTTTCCCCCCCCCCTCCCTAGCCCCTAAACCCCTAAACCAACAGGTTCTCGCCAGTGGCACGGATGGAGCCCTCCTTCTGGTGCGCCTCTTTAGCTGGCGCTTTTGAGGCTCAGTTTAGGGCTAAGAAAAATGGGATGTTCCCCCTCTTACTAGCAGTCCTTAATAGGGGTTACAATCGAGGGTGGTATAATCCCAATTAAGGACTGTCCGTATAATCGGGAACATCCTAATTCATATAGGGTACAGGGTTTTGGGCCATGGCTTTGGAGTTTTTGTTGTGGGATCCTTCCGGTTTCGGGTTTGGGGTTTAGAGGGTTCAGGGTTGTTCAAAAACTTCTGCTTCTGACTATATAGTCACTTCTCGAAAACATGGTCCCTTTTGGGGTCATACAGTAGTAGTAGCAGTAGTAGTAGTAGTAGTAGTAGCAGCAGTAGTAGTAGTAGTAGGGCGGTCCCTCTTGTTTAGGGTACTCAAACACCAAAATCGTGAGGACTGACCGACACAGTAGTGTGTGAGCTAAGTACCCTGTATCCCCGATTTGGAGGTTCATGGTACTTATTAACGAATTCTTACTGTACTTATAGCTGTACTTATAGTGATACTAGGGCAGTTAGGGGCTTATCATTGGGTTATAGTACAGTTATAATTGGTGAATAAATACCCTTCTTCCCATGGTTTGGGGTTATAGGGTTGTTAGGGTTGCTAGGGTTGTTAGGGTTTTAGGGTTAAAAGTTTAGGGTTTAGGGCTTAGGGTGGGAGATTCTTGGTGGGGATGAGTGTGGGGTGCAAGTGTTCTCGGCTATTTCTTGCAAGCCCCGCTACAAATGGACAATTGCAAAGCATCCCCCTGAGCTGAGGCTTTCAAAGCCGTGGTGGATTGCGGCCCACAGCTGTCCTAAGACAGAGAATTCGAAGCCAAGTCCGCGTTTGTTTTCTTAATCTGCACTACTTGGGAGCCAACTGCAAACCACAACACCAACAAGATAAAGCTGGAATCCCCGGTATTCCTAATCCCTCACAAACCCTGCGTATTTGACATCCAAAGCCCACATAAAAGCTTTTGCACCATACAAGGCCTGCCGTCTCGAGCGCTCGGGACGCACCCACCAGGCGTTGGGGATGTGAGCTGGGATACGTTGCTCTTCTGAGTGTTCCGGCGTTTTGGCCTGGGCTTGGGTCTTTAGAGTCTGTTGGTTTAGCGTCCGAGTCTAAGGTTCAGGATTTACACGTGCTGGTTTCATCATGTCAATATGCAAATTACTGTGGGCTGTCTTCCACTAGCCAGACACGAAGGGGTCAGGGAGGCAAGGCGATTGACTTGAGGCGACCCTAAAACCTAAACCCAAGCCCCCCAGGGTTAGAGGCGACCCTAAAACCTAAACCCTAAGCCCCCCAGGGTTAGAGACAGCACTGGAAGAGAATTGAGATTCTGATTCTAACGATCGAGATCCCCGTTTCGCTACTGTGCCTTGCGCGGCGCCCGGCTCAAAGGATTGTACAGTCGAGGTTCTAAAGTAGGGTCCCTGTTTGCGGCCCCTTACCAACCCCCATTTAAACCCTAAACCCTAAACCCGGCATGTGTAACCGCAGTCTGACGCCGGTCTATTTTGACTGTGGGTCGGACGCCTGCCAGTTTTACGCGGCACTACGCCCACAAGTCACACCCATCAAGCCCCGCAGAAGAGCCCACCTAAACCCTAAACCCTAAGCCCCAATTAAACCCTAAACCCTAAACCCTAATTAAACCCTAAACCCTAAACCCACTAACAACAACGCTAAGCCCTAGCGAGTTTTATGTCCGCGGCGACGATGCTCTTTGGCCTCTTCACGGCCAGCGCGGCTCCCAGCGCGCGAAAGGCAGTTTACCAAGGTCTTGGGCATTTCAGGTTTAGGGTTTGGGTTTCGGGTTTGGGGTTTGGGGTTTGGGGTTTAGGGTTTGGGGTTTAGGCTTTGGGGTTTCGGGTTTAGGGTTTAATTAGGGTTTAGGGTTTAGGGTTTAGGGTTCAGGGTTTAGGGTTTAGGGTTAGGGTTTTGGGTTTTGGGTTTAGGGTTTATAGGGTTTAGGGTTCAACTTGGGGCTTGGAGGCTTAAGGGCTTGGGGCCTCTATGGCGGCTGAAAAGGTAAAGAGAGGAGCTCCTCTACATCTACATCCTTCCGCAATTCATGGAAGCCCTAAACTTCGGATGTCGGGCGAAAAACCATAGGTCGGGCTAGTCACAGCTTCAGTCTGGTCAAACCCCGCCCGACGCCCTTGGTCTCTCAGAGTCGAAATGCATGATCCCTTCGAAAGTTTTCCCTAAGCCTTAAACCCTAAACCCTAAACCCTAAACCCTAAACCCTAAACCCTCTCAATCCCTGTGCCGAGGCAGCCTCAGCCTTTCCGATGGTGCCGGGGGCGGAGCGACCGCGCTCACAGCAGACAGCCAGGCCGGAACTTTGTTTGGGTTTTTGGGGTGGTTTGGGTTTCGGGGTTTAGGGTTTAGGGTTTATGGTTGAGGGTTTAGGGTTTAGGGTTTAGGGCTTGGGGGTTTCGGATTTATGCCTTCAGGCCCAGGAGCGGCGGGGAATGAGGAAGCTTGGGCCTGGATACTCCTAGGACCTGTAAGCCTGAACCTCCCAAAAGCCCGAAAGTTCTGAAATCGTACGAACTGCCCAAAAGTCCCAACTCACCTGAGGTGTACGTAGGCTTATAAGCTCACCATTTCGGTTTCGCAGAAGTTGAGGGGGGAGCGGATTGCAAATCCTTAAGGCCCGCAAGCCTCCCACCACAGAGTGTAAACCCCAAACCCCAATCCCCAAACCCCAAACCCCAATCCCCAAAACCCAAAACCCAAACCCCAAACCCGAAACCCTAGACTCTAACGACGGAACCGGAGGACAGTTTCCTCGGCACCTCTCCTCGGGAACCCCAAGCGTGGTCCAAAGCTTGGGGCCATCCTGGCATTGATGAACAGCGGTTGACAGGGGTTTAGGGTTTAGGGTTGGAGGGATGCTTTACTAACCAGGCCGTTGGGAAAAATTCGTCATTCCTTCCTGGGTTTTGAGAGGATCCCTATTTTTCAGAGGGTTTTAAGGGCCGTCCTAGTAAGATTTGGGAGGGTGCTTGAGGGAGGTTTAGGGTTCATGCTGTGGTGCCCTACCCCCGAACAAAAACGCTGGTCCTGGCAACCCTCTTTGAATCAAAGCCTCCTACAACAAAACACTACACTTGTTAACCCGAAACGCCCCCCAACCCATGCCCCTGCTCCAACAAAAACAAACACTTTTGATCCTAAAGCCCCAAGAAACCTCAGCCTGCCCACCCCCCCCCCCTCACCTCTCCCCCAACTCCTTCCCCCCAGCCCCCTTGTCAGTGGGTGGAGGGCTGCGTGATGGGTGCAGGGATTAAACACCCTAAATCCTAAATCCCAAACGCGCGGTCTCCCCAAACCCACGCACCAAAGCTGCGAAACTGCCCTAAACCCTAAACTCTAAACCCTAAACCCTAAACCCTAAACTGCTTCAGATCTTCGGGCTGTCAACCTACTTGTAAGATCAAAGCCCATCTGAATATGGAAAACTCTAGACATTGCGGTACCTTTTTTGGCTCCCCTCAAAAGTACGGCCCCCACCCATGAACATAAGGGCTCAACCTTGTATCCCCAAACCCCGTTTAGGGTTCAGGGTTCAGGGTTCAGGGTTCAGGGTTCAGGGTTCAGGGTTTAGGGTTTAGGGTTTAGGGTTTAGGGTTTAGGGTTTAGGGTTATGAGCTGCTCCGGAATGCCAGATGTTGCTTCGGACGCCGCCGATTGACCTGCTGTGGAAGCCTCAGACTTGAGAGGAGGCGGTTTAGGGTTTAGGGTTTAGGGTTTAGGGTTTAGGGTTTAGGGTTTAGGGTTTAGGGTTTAGGGTGTAGGGTTTAGGGTTTAGGGTTTAGGGTTTAGGGTTTAGGGTTTAGGTCCTAAACCCAAGAACCCTAAACTAGGCTCAGGGATGACTACGACTTTTTGGTTGCCACTTCCCTGCTGCCGCATGATGCAGTTACTTGGAGGTTCATGGTTTAGGGTTTAGGGTTTAGGGTACTGCCTATACCTGCACATATACCCACATTGGGGCACGCAAGGGGCTTATAAGTGGGCTATGAGTACATTTATAATTGGCGAAGAGGTACCATGAACCTCCAAGTACTCCTTGCGCGTGAAGGTGGGCATGGTTTATGTTGTGCAGTGCTCGCGCCCAGCACCCTGAAAACCCTCAAAGCCCGAAGAACCCAAAAAACCGAAAACCCTTAAAGCCCTTCCTGAACCCTAAACGCCCTAAGATTCCTAAACCCTAAACCCTAAACCCTAAAGCCCTGTGAACATTGATGGGGGTGGGGGGGGGACCTGAGGTCGCCTTCCAGCCATGTGCAACATCGCAGCCAGACGGCACCAGGCGCCACAACTTTCGTGCCATACCTTAGGGTTTAGGGTTTAGGGTTTAGGGTTTCGGGTTTAGGGCTTAGGGCTTAGGGCTCAGGGTTTAGGATTTCGGGTTTGGGGTTTGGGCTTGGTACCAAACTTGGACTACCCCCGCGGAGTCAGGGTTGAACCTTGCATTCCAGTCCCTGAGTGCTTTAGCGGCTTCGAGGTTGATACAGGAGCCTAGAATGCCTAGAACACTTGCCAATGCCATCCCCTCATCATCCCTATAGCGATGATAAAAACTAGCCAAAAGCTCCCGATTCTTCTGGTTTAGTGTTTAGGGTTTAGGGGTGTAGGGTGTAGGGTGTAGGGCTTAGGGTTTAGGGTTTAGGGTTTTGGGTTTAGGGTTTAGGGTTTAGGGACATGAATTTCTGAATAGTTCCATACGAAACTTGAGTAGGAGTGGCAAGTCTTGAAAGCCGCACTGCCGGAACGAAGGGTCAAGGTGTGGAGCGCGCGTGGGTGAGACTCAAGCCCGAAAACGGTACATCCCAATGAACCCTAAACCCTTAACCCTAAACCCAAAGGAGGCCCCAAACCCTGAACTCTAAAACCTGACCCTAAATCCTAAACCCTAAAGCCACCTAGACCCGATGCCGCGCCCATGCAAACTCATCAAAATTCTATAGGGACTAGGGCGGCCTCAACCCTCAAGTCTTGCGAACCACGACAAAAAAACCTTTGGGGTTTGGGTTTGGGGTTTAGGGTTTGGGGTTTAGGGTTTAGGGGTTTGTACACCCTCAAGCTATCGAAAGCCCCCAAAAAGCCCTTCCCAAACACCGCGAGGCAAGAGTCTGTTTCGGGACAGCCTGTCGTCCTCCACGGGCTCACTGCCCTGGCCTCTTAGCTTGCAAGAGACTGTTTGGGGGGGGGAGTTGGGGGGTGGGGGGGGGGGGGGACCCGAAGCCTAAACCCTAAACCCTAAACCCTAAACCCTAAACCCTAAACGCCCTGTTTAGGCCATGGGGGCTTGGGGTTTCAGGCTTCGGCCTTCGGGACCTTGCGGTTTATCTGGGTTCGGTCTAGTATCTGTTGGGTCTTGGACTTCGGAAGCTGGGTCCTTTTAAGCAATGGGCTCTATTGTACATTGCTACTCGTAGTCTTGTTGGACACTGTTGTTGTTTTGTAAGACTTCCCCCTTCAAGTGCACCTTGCCTTTTGCTTGCATTGTTCCCCACCCGCAGTGTGGGGCTGCTAGATTTTTAAGATAACCATGGCCCTTGCCTCCTCGCCCAATCTCCCCAGAGAAACCGAAGAGAGTTTTTGTAGGGTTTAGGGTGTGGGTTTGGGGTTTGGGGTTTAGGGTTTAGGGTTTAGGGTTTAGGGTTTAGGCTTTAGGGTTTAGGGTTTAGGGTTTCGGGTTTAGGGTTTAGGGTTTAGGGTTTAGGGTGAAGTGCACAGAGAGCCATTCTTGGGGAGCTTGTGTAGAGGAAGCCGCAGAGAGTCCCACCGAGTATCTGGAGTGCCTAACCACAGAGAAGTCCGGCGACAGAAGCCTGCGGCGAAGTATCCGAAACGGCTGGATGGTTCTATCAGGTAGCCGTAGGGTGAGGATGATCGTTACTTGCCTTCTTTTTGAAGGGCTGGCGGGCTTACGGCTTGGGGTCTTGGGTCTTGGATTTGGGAGGTTGGGAGTTAGGGCTTTCTATAGGCTTGGCGCAAGTGCG